GTTATCCCCTGAGGCCATCCATGAAAAGATGTTGGTTGTTTCTCAAAATTATCTTATGTATTAGCATCCTGTAATCAGTTCTCTCAGGGCATGTCTATACATGCTATTAATACACTTTAAGCTTACTGCGCATTAAAATGAGGTGCAGTAAGCTTTCCCCGGGAGCATGTCTATGCGTGTGCCCATCAGGAGCAGTTCATTGCAAAGCTATTGCTGCTCTTCTCTGCCCCCCTACAACACCTACAGTAGCTCCAGGCTCTTTTGGGTGCCAACCCCAGGCTGGCAGTGGCACTGGGGTGAGCCTTGGGCTCTGGATGATGGGTGGACCTGTCCCATCTCAGGGGGCACCTGCTGCCAAGCTCTGCCCCCCCAGTTGGCTGGGGCTGGGGCTGGGAAACCATCCCCTGCCCTGGGCAGCTGCATGCTTCCCAGCCCCCACTCCAATTGACTGATTGGAGTGGGGGCTGGGAAGTAAGCACCTGCCCCCTGCTGCTTGGGTTGACCGAGAGCAATGCCTACATGTGCACTACTGTGCAGTGGCTACTGCACAATAAATCTACTACTACTACTTTTATCTACAGGTAGTAGCCAACTGTGCAACGGACTAATTTACTGTGCAGTGAATGCTGTGCATGTGTAGACAGTGATGCTTTATTACTCAGTAGATTAGTCTAGTGCTCAGTAAAGCATCTTATGTAGACACACCCTCAGTGTAGCAGACTCATCCATTTTCCACCTCTAGCAAATCTACACCTATTCACCCTCTCAGGGTAGTAGCTTTGTCTCTGCCACATTCTTCAGCTTCTACCATATTTTCTTGCATTTAGCATGCCCTCGAACCTAATGCTCTTCCTAGTTTGGGGAGAAGGAAAAAAAAATTTTACTATGGATTACAGATAAGTACCAGATGACTGGGGTCTCAGTAGCTGGGGGCTGTGCACTGGGGCCTGGGGACCATGAGTTAGGGCCTGTTCCAGTGTGCCAGTGCTGGTGCTGTATGCTGGGTCTGACCCTGTGCTCTAGCTCTGGAGTCTCAGGCAAAATCTGGAGCCATGTGATAGATCAGGCTCAGCCAGGTCTGTCCCCAGACAAACCCTGCATGTTGTTGCAATCTGGGGTTTCCTGTAGGTTCAGAAATGTGGTAGTGAGGAGGGAGAGAAGTAGGGAGGGAGCAGTGGTAGTGTTAATTGCCATGACTCCTAGAGCCCTGACAGTTAAAACTCCCACTGCCCCTGCCCCTGCCCCTCCCTTCCAAATTTCTGAATGCATAGAGGCCCTCTTCTTCATATAATATATACCCCAATTTTCTCCAGGTGCTTTTTGGGGCAAAGTGTTGGTTATACCCAAGACAATCTGGTGTTCACTGAGTTGTTCCACAGCTTCTCAAGGAGTCTTTCAAAATCCAAACTAGAATTCCTTGAAATTGTCAGACTACTAAATTAGGACACTCACCTTGCTTAATTGAGGGAAATGAGGTTTTTTTGTAAAGAATTGTCAATTGTGTTCAGGGGGTGCACTGTGTCAGATCCGTATTGGTCTGATGGCAAAAATAGAGGAAGGAAAACATTTACCTTCTCAGATGGTTGGTTGTCTTCCACTTTTAGTCCCTATGTTTGTAGATGTTCTTAGGGATTTGTAGATAACCAGCTGGGAGATGGATGCAGACCCTTTATAGGTGGCTAAGGTGAATGTAAGTTTTGGACCCACTGTGATGGAGTTACTTCTTTCTCTTGGTTAGGCCAAGCTGCCAGAAATGTGTAAGAAAATTCTGGTTAAGCATTTAATAGTTTGATATTAATAACATTCCTTATTTTACTTTATTGCCTTTTCTTCCTGCTTTTTTCAGGAAAGATTATTGAAAAACATTTAATGTTAGACCAGTTAAACTTATACTTGGTTTCCAGAGATTTCACGGTCTGGTTTTCACTGCTGACGACTCAGTTTGGAAAAAAGAGGATGTGATGATTGTTAGTTAGAGAGGAAAATAGGTGGAACAGGTATCTGTATAATCTGTTGACAGGTTGCTAACTCCCCATGAAATGATCCTTCCTCCTAACATGGACCTCATATCTATCGTTTCCTTGTTGCCTTCAGGCTCTATTGCTCTAATGTGCTTCATACTCTGAATTTTTCCTGCTTTACCAGTGGCAGAGAACAGCTTCTCACCTTCTGACCAGAGCATTCTGCAGGGAGCCCATTCACTTGTGCTTAAAACTTGTTCACTTCTGTGTGTCATTTAAGGTGCCTGTGATAATATAAAAGCTTTGCATGGTCTGGTTTCCAAGCTCTGTCACTGCCATGACACTTAAGATACTGCTGTCATCCATGGGTTGAACTCTCCTTGACCAGTGTCAGGGATTTCTCAACTGAAGCATCCTGTGGTACTCTGCCAGAGCCCCAAACTAATTAATACCAGAGTAAAATTCAAGACACATGTGTTTGGTTTAGCGTGTACTCTTTGTTTTTGAATTATGATTTTTTAAGCTTATTTTCTATTCCAAACAAGATGACAATGTGATTAATATTTCTTTAAGGAACAGCTTTTCTAATATTGTTATTTTGGGTAGCTTTATATTAGTGATGTTTTTAATTTGGTAAACATGGATATAGTTTCTCCAATAAAAGACGTATTGTAGAATAGTAATATTATAATATCCATGGCTAAGTACAGGCGTTCCAGAAGCCTGAGGCGGAAGCGCTCAAACTTTTTTGAGCTTTACTCTTAAGCATCCAAAGTTAGATTGGGAGCCAGCAGAACGTGTTAGCTCTTGGGGGGCTAGGGGGAGGTTCGGAGACTGCCCTTACACCCTGAGTCCAGCAGATACGGGTGGCTCTCGCACACCTCCCTGCTTGCACTGTGGATTCCCTGGGCTGCCAAAGACTCCCAAATGGAGCTGAATGGCCAAGCCACCCCTGATTGGCTGTGATGTCCCCACCAGCTGCCCATTTGGACCTGATATGGTAGCACCTTATCATGGCATGAACCATCTTGGGCACAAGCCATCAGCCAGCCACCCTACATATGGCCACCCAATGCACTCTGCACCCACCGTGTATGTGCGTATGTATGTTTTGGAAGCCTGGGTACTGTGTGTGTGCACATGCATGTCCTGGATGCCTGTATTCCCTTCCTGCTGATGCTGGTGGCCCTGGCCCTGCACAGGAGCAGGCTCTCTGGATCTGTGAAGGCCTGGACAAATAGTTCTTCATCTTCATAGACCTGGAGCCCTCCCCAAATGAGTAGTAGGGCTGGAGGGCTTCAAGTGACACTGGGCCATGGGTCTCCAGCCCTGGGCTTCTCTGGCCCTGCATCCCAGGCAGTACTGCCCACACCCCAAGCTAGCCAGGCACCAGTCCCCTTTTCTTCTCCCTCTCCAACTCCCCGCAGGGGCTGTCACCTGGGCTGCAGAGGGGATGTAGCATGAGGAAGAGATCTGCCATTTTTTAATCAAATGTTGAAGCTGCTAAACTTTTAGTGCTTTTATCAAACAAAACCCGTGGAAGGTTGCTTGCTCTGAAACTTGGAGCCTTCTCAGTTAACAGTGAGAGAATGGGGAAAGCCCCTGGCTGCACCAGGTGGTTATGGAGTGGAGGGCAAGATGGAGGTGGGCAGCCAGTGGGGCTCAACTTAACAAACACAGTACCTTGGGGCAGCAGGACAAATACTAAGCATGAAACTACCATCCTTGGGCTTAATTAAATGTTGCAGCTGCCAAATGTTTTTTGTGTATAGTAAAGAGAAATTATGGAACGTTGCCTGCTCCAGGACTCGGACCGAAGCCTATGGGGCTGCCTGTCCTCACAGACACTGTGCTGTTCCCCTGCAGTGGGATGAATGACTGGACTGGCTTGGCCCAGTGGGCTAGGGAGTGTTTCCCCAGCCCGCCTCATTTTAAGGAAGTCAGCACTAAAGTCTCTACATGGGTATCTGCCTTAAGATGTGTAGCCAGCCTGACATGGTGTGCCAATATCCAAGTGGTCAGAGCAGATTATGTGCTCCTGTATGGTCCAGGAGTACATACTAAAAAGCTCAACACCAAACTTGCAGTGTACAGGGACTCATAATAGGATGCACAATTCGCACACATACATGTATTCCCTGTACTCTAGGGCAGGGGTTCCCAAACTGTGGTGTATATACCCCTGGGGTACACAAGGCATCTCTAGAGGCTACATGGAAGAAATTGTGTAATGGTGGATTTAATTTTCATTATAATAATAATTGGCATTTAAATATGAAATTTTAAATATAAAAAGGAGGCTGGTAAGGATGTGCAGGCAGCTGGTAAATCTGGAAGGTGAAATGCATTAAAAAAGTTTGGGAACCTCTGCTCTATGGTATTAGACAAGTGACATAAAAAGACAGACCCTAACTGCTCCCCTGTTGCTGGGTTTTTGGGCCCATGGAGAGCCTGGCAAGCCTGGTACTGTGGCCGTGTGCATTGCACCAAATTTAGATAAGGGGTGGGTTGAATGAGAATGAAATGATCATTCAGAACAATCCAGTCTGAAATCTATTCTTACAGCATTTTATACCAAAACTAAATGAGTGCCCCATTGGGCATGACTTCGACAGAGAACCGCAAATCAAACTGAACAGACTGAGATCTGGATAGGGATGCTTCAAAACAACACTGTACAAGATGAACATCTTGAACAGCCCCCTGTGTGAATGTGGTGTCCAGCAAACAGCACAGCACTTAAAGTTGCATTCTTTACAAATGCCCAGATGGGGTAGATGGATCCACATGCTGAGCGATAATACTGGACAGTGGCTCATAGCTGGCCAGAGGGAATGGGGGTGGGGGGATGGAAGCAGGATGGGCTTCAATGACTCTTGTCATTGACAGTCTGGGGGCAAGGCCAGCCCAGCACTTGGGCAGACCAAATGAGCTTTGGCCTAGGAAGGGGGGGTGAGCAGGGTGCCGCAAAGTCCCATGGGTTGCCTAAGTTGCAATGGGATCTGGTACAGATGTTCATTACAGTGCTGTAACGCACAGCACTGAAGTTTGATACCACATCTATCCCAGGATATCTTAGAGAGGGATCCACCATGTTATAGCACTCTATATGCCCTGCCCATCTGTTTGGTTAGGGCCGCAGAGCATTTTCTGTGTGCTTGCCATGTAATAAGTGTAACTTCTGTACCTGGCTCCTGAAGCCTAACAGATTAAACCAATACGCACACTAAGTTTAAAATCAATACAGCATTAAAGTATTGAGTTACCTCCTTTTGATTTTCTTGAGTCCCATTTGCACCCCTCCCAAAAAAATAAAGCGGTGTCATAGTTCTAATAAGTCTTAATTTTGATCAAAATTGTGTTTTTCAATTGTTCCTTTGTTGTAGTGCTGCTGGATTTCAAATTTAGAGCTCTTAAAATAAAATATCTTAGTATAGATATTAAAAATTTCAATATAGGACCAACACAGCCATTACTGGTTTGTCTACAGTTAACCATATCCTTCATATCCTTTTGATCCCATTTGATCTCAGAGAGATAAACAGCCAGCTTTCAGTAATCTCTTTTTGATAATGTTTTCCTTAATATTCCTGTGCTAGAAGTGCCTTCATGGCAAAACCTTCAGTGACAATGCTTGAATTCTGAATTAATCAGATCTATGAGTTGGTTTTCTGTCTGGCCTTTTTCAAGTAAATGTCTTGAGGGAGGTAATGTCCACAGTTAAGTACAAAGAACATGTGGTTCAGCATGTTTAACTCATGAAAATTATTGTGCAATATCAAAATAATCAAATAGTACGTTTTGTTTTGGTCCAAGAACAATACCTTTTTATTTCCTTTGTTCCCTGAGAGATTTATATTTCTGTGGAAATGTAAGTGATACCAAGGGTAGCAGCTTTCAAGTGCAGCTATAGATAACAATAATGGAAATAAATATTTGAAGGAATTTTGATATTTCAGCCATGCTTTGACATCAGAAGGTTTCTTGTGAGAAATTATGCCAACAAAAATGCAGAAAACCATTGATTGGTGAATGCTGGGTATAGAAAGCCATAAGTCTATAAGGCATGTTTTATTAACTTATAATAAAGTATAGGAACGTAGTGAACCAGATCCTCAGGTTGTGTGAAGAACCATTATGCCACCTGGTCCAATTAGCTTATTAGACCAAAACAGATGTGCAACTTCTTTAATAATTGTAAAACTTCTTTTCTATTAACAACCCCAGCATTAAGGAGAAGCGAGCCAAAGCAAGACAGTAAGATGTGCAGCTTTGAGATTTAAGGGTTCACATATCCCAACATACCTTTACCTAACAGGCAGCAAAATGCCCTATATCCATATTTGCGAGCCGCCTTGTAAAGGTTATGGAACTGTTTTCACTGAAGCCAATGGCAAAACTCCTTCTAATAATAATGGATGAAAAATGTATACCTGCTTTTCTCTGTGTATACCTAATGTTTTCTTTCTGGCATAAGGAAAATCTAAAATAAATGGTAATTTTATAGCATCAGTGAGCTTGGACAAATCACTGTGAGGTTGATTCTTCTCTAACATCCCATCTGCCCTCTGCCCTCTGCTTTCCCTTCTCATCCCATCCCATCCACCCTCGGCTTTCAGGGCCTTCAGAAGGAATTGATGGCAGTCAGTAAAGTGAAGGATAATTTCTGCTAAGCCTCTGTAAAACTGACCCTATTGCAACAAAAAATCGTATTTTAAATAAATAACATATTGAAGTCTATAACTGAATCTTGAAAAAAATGACTGTAAAATTATGGTCTGTGGGGTTGCACGTTCACTATAATACAGTGCTTCCTATATTGAAGTTGCTTGATTTACAAAGTGAAAGATACCATTTCTAAAAGGCACTTTCTCCAGATCGTCATCTGGGCTTTTATAGGAAAACTGGGTTCTTCCCATCTTCTTCATGAGCACCAATAGATGTTCTCTAAGCTAAATTACAATCCCTTAAATTGAACTACTGCAGGTTATGACATTAGTAACACCCTTGCAGCCCCTTTCAGAACTAGTTAAATAGTTACAGTCACTAGATTCCCAATCCTAAATTGCTGCCACTATGCAAAAATCATCTTGTATTTGTACAGGGAGGAAGAAATGCTTTTGTTCTAGATGGTTTTAAGATGTATAACTCTTGTGTAATTGTGTTTCTGAATCACTGTGGCTGAATGTTTTGGGGAGGGGTTTCCTTGAGGCTGAAATCTTAATATCAACAGTTTGATTTTTTTTTCATCTCCCTGAAAATAATCGAAATTATCTTTCAAAAAATCTGAGGCTTTACATAATTAAGTTTTAAAACTGCCATTATACCTAAGTTTATTGATGCCGTGAATTATTCCAACCAAGAATCTCATATTAATAGTTGCAACATTCAAGATTTCACTCACTAGAAAATAATGTAACCTGACTGTTGTGGTTAATGTTACACAATCTTGCCAGTTGAGCCTTGGTTTTGAAAACATAGTGGGTGGCTTAGATTCAGATCTCACAAACCCTGAAATCTGAGGAGTTTTGGATGTATGATTCTACTTAAACCATTTTCCATCATCATCTGTGAATCAAGGTTAAAGTATTCCAATTCCTAATGTGCCTGTTTTATGCAATTATGAAATGTTTGGCATCTACAAAAAGCTATACTAGCATAGAAAAAAGGACAAAATAAATGTGTTCTGAGGATTACTCCTTCAATTAAACATCTAACTGTAGTACTAGCAAGTTTTTTTTTGCCATCCTTAATTTGTGGTCTACTTTAGAGAAGAATTTATCCTGAATAGGAGCAATAGTTTGATTATGTGCTTTGCTGTATTGCACACATTCATATTCCTCTTGATTTTAGGAGATACTACTTGTATTTTAAAACTGCAACATCTAATCTGTCTTGTAGCTATTTGTAGTACACACAAATGAGGAACAACCTGTAAAATAGAGCTAACTGAAAAGCAGTATGTAATTTTATTTTTAATGGATTATTTTCATAAGAAATAATAATAATAAAATAATTGAAACCTTTCTGATAGTAGGTTACTAACAGTGGTGGTTTTCATGGGCTGTCATATGAGATTGTCTCTAAAGACAGATATGTTGCATTGAGCTTTAAAACATACTTGTAGCATATATTGAAATGGAGTTTGTATTGACTGGTGTGTGAATAGATTCAGATTATAAATCCTACTGAGTCATTACTGAGGTAACCTGACCCACTGATTTCTTGAAAATAAAACATCTTCAGTGTGTTTGGTGGGGTGTATTCTAAGACCAGAAACAAAGGAAATGCCTTACCAAGTAGTTCTTCCAAGTGTGTTCCTTTGACAGCAACCATGGCAAGACCAGATGGTTCAGAAAAAAATGTTAATCCTCCTGATTCTGTAATACAACCTACAAGGAGATACTTCTTACCAACCCGAACTAGGGATGTAAATACCAATTTAAAAATATCCATTTAACCTGTTGTAATTGTAATAAATAAATGATTAATCAGTATGGCAACCCCCATCCTGGCCTACATGGGCCTGTTTTGGGCTGGCTGGAGGGGCACCCTTGCCCAACCCAGCACCAGTGGGGTGCTTCTAGTCCCACAAGGTATGGCAGGGACTTGGGAGCTCTCCAGGGCCCCAACTCTCCAGAGCTCTGCCTCATGATGAGCTGGGTGGGTGGCCAGGTCCTCTTGAGGCGGGGTGCATCATGGGGCTGAGCTGCAGGCTCAGAGGAACCACTCCATGCTGGTTACCTCCACCTTGCCCCTGCCAGGTCCTGCAGCTACCATGCGCCTGGCTGGGGGGCATGCATTGGTGCCACCAGCAGCAACAGCTGCAGCAACAGAAGGCATCGCATCCGGCCAGGCATGGAGATGAGGATGGGCACTGTGGGGCGGGGCTTCAACCTTTGGCAGGCAGCACATGGCCCCTGACTTCTACACTCTCCAGAGAGGAAGCTGAGTTGCTTTCCTTGTGGACAACAGAGTAGGGGGGAGGGAGTGGGGGAAGGAGGGACTAGTATTGAATAGCTAGGCTCCATGGACCCGGTTCAGCTGCTTGCAGCCTCCCCACTACCTGCCACAGGCAGCTCAGGCTCCATGGTGGGCAGCAGGGGCCTACCTAGAGCCTGAAATGCTTGTGGGAAGTGGTGGGGAGGCTGCAGGTGGCTGTACCAGGGTCTGCAGATGTAAGCTATAGGTTCTAGTCCCCACCTCTCCCTTCTCACCTCCTTACTTCTCCCTCCCTCCCTCCCTCCTTCCTTCCTACCAGCCTTGCTGCCTTCCAGTTCTTGCTGGAGCTCTGCATGGCTTCCCTTCTCAGCTCCCCTGCCAGACCGTCCGTGCCATGCTAAACAATAGCCAGTAAGCTATAACTGGTTATCACTGGGCTTATCAGTTAAATAATTCAGTTTTTAGCCATTCACATCCCTAACCCATCCTATATTTATCACAGATAGCTGTGAAAGCGTATACATCTCTCTGATTTAGTTAGTCTATAAGTAGGCTTGGCAGAATTTAATTTTTATTTTAAAATAATTTTGGTGGGTAATACTGAGGTTTATTTTTAAACATTTGAATTTTTATAGATTTTAATTTTCAGGATTGTGTAAAATTAAGGGTGTGGGGAGCAGACAATTTATTGATAATAAATGTAAGTATTGTAGGACTGCTGCCAGCTGAGTGGCAGAGCTGCCATCAGTCCTGGCTCTGCTCACCCATGGCTCCCTTGTCCACTTTGTCACTTCCTTTTCCTTTGTTCCCAGTCCCCTGGGGTTTCTGGGAGTTTCAGTCCAAACTACTGCTTCCCCTGTCATCACACACTCCATCAGCCATCATTTTTCTTAAGTCCTCTTTCTATGAATTTTGATAATTAATGATGGAAGTATTTTTTCACTGGTCACTGAGTGTGACTGTTTTATCAACATTTACTGATTAAAATTAAATCCTGCCAAGCCTATCTATAAGGTACCCTTCTATCTGGTCGTCTATATTAATTTGCTTATGTCTGGGAATACAAGACTCTGTAACTATTAGGCCTCTAAAAATTATTTCATC